TCCCCATTTCTGAAGAAGGGTCTAGGCCCGAAACGTCAGCCTTCCTGCTCGGCCTGCAGTGTTCATCCAGCTCTACACCTTGTTAGATCTAATAATTACTCAAGTTTCAATAACTAGAAATATTGAATGATTAGAACGCTGGACTCCTTTTCACATTAGTCCATTTTCAGCAAACAGTAAAAAATGAAAAACGCATTAGAGAAGAAATGCTCATGTTCGATTAGCCATGTTGCAATGATTTTACTTGAATTATAGAAAGGCAGTACTCAATTAACTTTGGGATTTGATTGTGTTATCAAAGACTTTGTAGCAATCAGCAAAGGAAAAAGTGTAACAGATGGCATACAGTCTACTAATCTGAATGAAATCTAATTGCACAATCTATCATCATTTAAGTTTACATGCCTTTCTACTTTAAAATAAAAAGATAATGGGTTGCTTGCAGTGAATGATGTAACTGTTCTAGGAAAATATGCCTAATTGTTGATTCCCAATTTTACAGTTAAATGAAGGGTTGTTAATAAGTACAGACAAACTTTGCAGAAGTCAGTTATGAAGCATCAACAAGATCCTCTAAACATCAAAATGAATTAAAATATATGAAAACAAAAAGTAAAAATTCTTGATCATTACATCCCAATGTCCTTCGCTGTGTGCAGACAGGTCTGCAGCTTCACTGACCAGTATATTCTCTCCTTTTGTAATAATTATCAAATACAATTACATTGTTACCAACAATTCTTCTATACCTCTCATAGGTACAATTGCTCATGTGACTGGATGAGGAATGTTGCCAGACGACTCATTTGTGATGGTTGTTAATTCAATGCAAATCCTGTACTCACCTGACACTCCTAGAAAGTCAGGTGGATAAGTCAAGACAGTGGAGCAAAGTCACTAGCCAATTTCCCCCTTCTCCAACCCAAACCAAAACTATCTTGGTCCATTCAGCTCAAACTCATGATGAGCATCTAAAACAACTGCAGGTTAAAATAACATTTTCTTCTGAGGTACAACACTGTTCCAAGTTAATTATATTTGAAATTTACTGTGATTAAATTCCCTAAACAATTGAAAAAAAAATAAGCAATGTGTTCTGATGGCAATAGTGAAGAATTAAGGCGAACAGCATGCTGGTGGAGTTTCTTCTGCTCGCTTCAAATAGGGCCCCAGGATTTTTAATCTGACAGGTGGGCCTTGTCTTAATATTTCTTCTACGAACACTAGTCTACTTGAGGCTTTAGATTTAACTGACTGGGCCAAGGTTTGATGAAGTTACACAAATTATGTGGATATGCATTGAAACCGTCAAGCAAAACACAGTTTTGAGTCATTGTCACTATATACCATGGTGCAAGTTCAGTGACTTCTTCCTCTTTCCAATATTGCCAACGCACAAATGACTTCGATCCTGTCTTTATTCTTAACATTTCTATATCTATTTTAATAAAAACACTTTTGGTTGCACTCTCGACAAAATGGCACATACAAATAGTTTGCATTTTAATTCAGTCACAGCATTAACCAAACCGGAAATCTTCACCAAGCCCAAACTCATGCATATCTTGATTACTCTCTACCAATTAGAATGCATCTTTTTGCACACCTTAACAGGCTGTTTCTTGGGTGTCCTCACGTTCGCAAAAACAAAAAGCAGGTTTGCCGAATAATTTGCTTAGAACACTAGTAAGTGTCTTAAACAGCTACTTAGTACCATCATTAAGCCACGGGAATCATATTTCACTACCCCATTCCAAGAGTTACCTTAGTTTAACATCCAACTTTTTTGTCTCTTCCCAGAACGTTGAGGCACTTTTGTTAGTCTGATCACCCACACCTTGTCTCTCTGCTCAAATCATTTATATTTCAGTGAACACGGGCAATTGGGTAGATTTACATTTATTGTCTATCCCCAGTTGATCCAAACTTCTCTATTCAGTAACTACTTCAATGCTCATATCTTTCAAGAACTTTCCCTTCCCCCATCTCTCACTTCCAGTGTTCTAAGATGACAGCTGTGCCTCCAGCTGCTAGGCCATAGGCTCAAGACCCCAGTTCCTAAACTTCTTAGTCATTATCTTCTTAAAATAAAAACTGCTTAAAACCAATCTCTTTAACCAAGCTTTCAGTCATCATTCCTCTCTACTCCTTTGAATATTGATTTTTGACTATGCCAGTTAATTTGACACATTTTTAATATGATTAACACATCACTAGGCTGAAACAGACCCTTTGGTCCAACTTATCCATGCTGACCAGACATCAATTTGGCTCATATCACTCCAAACCATTGCTATTCATACACCCATCCAGATGCCTTTTATAGGTAATTGTACTCACCTCCACGACAACCTCTGGCAGTTCATTCTATACACACACCAACCTCAACATGAAAGTTACCCCTCAGCTACTTTTTAAAAAGTCTTTCCCTTCTTACCTTAAACCTATGTCCTGTAGTTTTGGACTCCCCCCATCTTAGGAAAAAGAACTTGGCTATTCACCCTATCCTTGCCCCTCGTGATTTTAAGCATCTATAAGGTCACCCCTCAGCCTCCAACGCTTTGGGGAAAAAGATAAAGTCCCAGCCTATTCAGTGCCTTTCTATAACTCAAACCCTCCAGTCCCACCAACATCCTTGTAAATCTTTTCTGAATCCTTTCAAGTTTAAACAACATCCTTCCTATTGAAGGGTGACCAGAATTATATGCTAATTCTGGAAGTTGCCTCACCAATGTCCTGTACAGGCACAACATGGATCCCAACACGCAATGCACTGACCAACAAAGACTTGTTAGTTCTGTAAATCCTCTCCCAAGCCAATCCTGCCATCTCAGATTAGATACTGAACAGAGGTCCATCTGCTCTGTTAGGAGGAACGCGAAAGATCCCGTGGTCGATATTGTTCCTTGAAGTATGAAGTTCACCCCTTGGCTTCTTGGACCTATGCTTAATTCTCAATAGACTACCTGCTTATTCATCTCTGTGCTGTTTGTAGGATAAGGTGGTGTGCAAATTGGTGGTCACAGCTTCACATGTTAAAGGACGCATTTTTTGAATAATTTTTCAATAATTTTTCCTTGGAACTTGACAAAAGGTACTATAATGATGCAAAATCTATTTCCACTATGACCTCAGGTACTGCATTCCAGAACATAGACTGAAATATCTTAAGGTTTTGGAGTAGATCTGTAGCTCGGGTTGTGGGTTGAGGTTGGTTGGCTCGCCCGCCGAGCTGGGTTGTTGTTCTGCAGACGTTTCATTACCATGCCTGGTAACATCCTCAGTGCAGCCTCTGATGAAGCATCGGTGTTTTCCTGCCTGGTTTTTAAACTCTGGGGTCCGTTGCGATGGATTGCCTCACTTCCGGGTTTCCTCTGTAGTGGAGGAATGAAGAACGAAGAAGGGTCTAGGCCTAAAACGTCAGCTTTCCTGCTCCTCTGATGCTGCTTGGCCTGCTGTGTTCATCCAGCTCTACACCTGGTTATCTCAAGTTATCTACGCCCTCTGGTTACTAACCCAATGAAAAGTTTCACCATCTACAAAACACAAACCTGTTGAAAATTGCCACTTAGCCCTTCATACTCCAAGGACAGTACTTCCAATCTCCTTACACAACAGAAGGCCCCCATCCCAATACCACAGAATAACATCAGGACAGAAAACGGCCATTAGGCTCTTTCCAGCCATTTAAGAGATCAATCCAATTAGTATCCCCAGGCCAACCTCATCATTCCCATGCCATATTTTCAGGTATTTATTAATTCTAAAGTGGAAGTGGATAATGTATTTATTTCCATTCTTTCAGGGAGTACATTCCAGATTATAAGTTTGCCATAAAAAGTCTCACCTCCCTCACTGGTCCACCGACAACCGCTATAAAACTAGTGCTCTCTGGTTACAGATCTTTCGGACATTGGAGACAGTAAGGACTGCAGGTGCTGGAAGCTAGAATCAGTAAGTGTGGAGCTGGAAAAGCACAGTCAGATAGCATCCAAGGAGCAGGAAAGTCAACATTTCGGGCCTAAACCCTTCATCAAACCCACTGGCTGTGCTTTTCCAGTTCCACATTTTCTGACAAGGAAACTGTTTCATCCTTGTCTATTCAGCCCAAATCATTTGGAATTTTAAACACACAAGTCACATTTTTCTTTAAATTTTCTCTGCACAAGAAAAACAATCCAGGTTTCCTTACACCATCATCCCTGGTATCATTCTAGTAAGTCAATGTTTCGATTTTAAAATTCTGATCCATGTGTTCAGGCCAAAGCAGCACTGCCTTCAAATTTCTATAAGCTTCCCCAGTTCAACAAACCTGAGATTCACAATCTTGGCATTTCCCTTGTTCCTAATTTTAATTGGTCCACTACTGGTGGTTGTGCCTTCAACAGTTGAGGCCTAAAAGTTTTGGAAATCCACCCCACTAAACTTTCTCCTATTTAAATTCACCTCTAACAAAAATGGTTGGCTGTTCTAACATCATCTCGTGGCCCATTGTCAAATCATGTCTAACAATCCTGTGCCTTGGAATGTTTCATAAGCAAAGGCACCAGATTCCCCATATCCTTCATTCTTTAAAGAGAACAATCTCAGCTTTTCAATACTGCGCACAATATTGATATAGTACCCTTAACAGCCCAAGTTGCTTCACGAGTGTTATCAAATAAAAACTTGACACTAATTCAAATCAGATTTTCAAGCAGAATAAAAGCAAAACGTGATGCTAGAAATCTGAAATAAAAACAAAAGTGCTAGAGAAATTCAACAAGCCCGGCAGCATCTGGAGTTAACGTTTCACGTCCAATAGGACTTCTCTTTAAAACCAAGGCAGAATACTGAAAGCTCTTATTCTTGACATTGCTTATCATCGACTTTTTCACCGTCTTCAGATATTTGCCTTCCTTCCATAAGTATAGCGACCAGTATTACCCAAATACCCAGCCTGAGGACTGAGAGAGCACTGCTGAAAGGGGAGGCAACAGAATGGACCACAAGGCACCTACCTCCAGAGCCAGGGCTGTCTTATCATAGGCATTGGGGACACGCTTCTGGAAGGCCCGGGCATACACCGGCCCGTTCTGGAGGTTGGGCAGCGAGGCACTGACACTAGGCTGGGCATAGGGCCCGAACTCAGGCTGCCCAACTCCGCCAACCCCCGACGGGGGCTGGTGCTGGGCCACCACCGCCTGGCCGCCCTCCGGGCTGTTAGCCGGGCCGAGCAGCGAGCTGGGCCGACATTTCTCCACGTAAGGCACGGGGATCATGCCGCAGCGGCCTTCGCTGTTCTGCGCGTTCCACCACTGATCCTCGGGCTTGTCCAGGATGCGGAGCACGTCGCCCTTGCGGAACGGCAGGTCCTCCTCGTCGTTGCCGGGGAAATCGAAGAGGGCGCGGACAAAGTGGGCCTCCTCGGACGGGACGCTGTTGGTGGGGATGTAGGCGGCGTTGGGCCTGTGGACAGGCTCCAGCAGGGTGGTGGTGTCCAGGTAATGGATCTTGTAGAACTCCAGCAGGCCGTGCAAGTTCTCGAACTCCTGGTCGCCAATACGGTAGCGGCCGGGCCCGGGGCCTGGGCCTTGCTGCTGCCGGCTGTTGATGATATAATGCGACACCTTCGAGTTCTCGCTGACACTCAGCACGTAGTCCCCTGGGATGGTGCGACTGTCCCTCACCAGGAAAGTGCCGTGCTTTTGGCCCATCAGCAGAGACACGGCTTGGTCCCGCCTCATGGGACCGAAGTACCAGCTCTCTTGCTTCTGGGCGTCGAAATTAGCCGCCATGTCCCTCAGTGTGCTCTACCCGGGCCGGGCTACTCTCAGCTCCGCTCTGCCTGCCCAGCGGTGCCGGCAGCGGCCTACTCACCGCCTAGGCCTCAGGCCTCCCTTCACAACACACAAAACTAAAGAAAATATAAAGTCCCCGGGCGGCAAACGGACGCGTGTTTACTTCATAAAATCCGCCCCCCCGTCGATTCTCAGATCGGCCGCCTCTTGTTTGTGAAACTTATATTTTTCCCCCTCTTACTGTAAATCTTTTGGAAAATAGCGCGCGAGAACAGTGGAATCGTTAACTGCGCCCGACCCTTTTAGCCGATTTCTATCCGCCGACTTTTGATTAGGGCGTTTGTTCTCTAAAAGGGACCGCCCCACCCCCACTGCGCACGCGCACTCCCTGGCGTGAGGTAGGGGTGGGGAGAGAGAGGACGAGCGCTGACCTCACCACGTGGAAGGGCAGCTCGTGGGTATGTTTGAGTGGATGGGGTGGGAATAGCCGTCTGCCATCTTGGTGAGGTCGTGTTGGACTCCTTTCTGCGCCTGAGGGTCCAGCAATATCAAATTGCACCGACATGGCGCCTGCAACCCAATCAACCGAGGGTGGTCCGGTTGGGGGGTGGGGTGCAGATCATCAAACAAAATTAAAACAAAGAACTGCGGCTGCTGAAATCTGAAACAAACAAAAACAAGAAATTGCTGGAGAAACTCTGTAGGTCTGGCAGCATCTGTGAAAAGAACACAAAGTCAATGTTTCAAGTCCAGTGATTTTTCTTCAATATCAAACAAAAATTTTATATTGAAACACCTAAACATGATTCAAGGGAGGATTATCAAACAAAGATTTTGGTACTGAAAGACATTAGTTTGACACTCAGGTAGGGCCTGAGGACTGAGGGGTGGTGGAGAGGTTTAGGGCACTGATTCATAGAATCACACAGTATAGATGAGGTGCTTTGGTCCATCGAGTCTGTACTGTCAAAATATGCTAGTCCCATTATCCAGCAGTAGGCCCACAACCTTGAATATTATGACACTTCAGTTGTTCATTAAACTACTTTTTTAAAGGTTGTGAGCCTTTCGGCTTTTCACTTTAAAATTATGGTGCCTTGTTCTTAATTCCACTTGATACTTTCTTTCTATTCACCCTCTCCATACCCTTCATGATCTTATACACCCTGATACAGACTCCTCAACCTTCTCTACTCCAAATAAAACAGCCTGAACTTATCCAGCCTTTCTTCATAGTTGAAGTGCTCCATCCCAGGCATCATCCTGGTGAATATCCCCGGGTTAATTACATAGCATTCACATCAAAATTAATCAAATAGTTTGTTTCTTTTTGTGAATGTATCAATAGGGCGGTCATGTGAATATATAGATGTGTTGGACTAAGGCAAATCCATAGTATGCAGCCCAGACAGAGCTGATAGCAAAGCTACCAGGTGGATCAATTAAAATTGGGATGTTCTAGCAACAGAATTGAGGACCTGGGAGATATGGAGGGACAATACCATGAAGGAATTCAGAAATAAGAATGAGAGATAGTAGGAACTGCAGATGCTGGAGAATCTGAGATAACAAGGTGTAGTGCTGGATGAACACAGCAGGCCAAGCAGCATCATACGAGCAGGAAGGCTGACGTTTCGGGCCTAGGGTCTAG